TGTATCATACACAAGTATGCACACGCACACACGCACACACATACACACACACGTGTCTATTTGTACTAGTCTAGACTAAAGCCAATTTTATAGTGCTAGCCACATACCCGCATGCACATCGCTATATAAGTGCAATAATCTTGGTCGCGACGTTAAACCCTGTTTCACCTCACTTCAGATCCTTTTTTAGACTATTTTATTGTTACAGTTTTGATAATATATCAAGGGAGTTAACTCTACCAGACATATCAGTGCTAAGAAGCAGTGGATGAAATAAAATAAATTGCCAGGCTGCCATCAGGACACACAGACTTTAGAAGCTGCAGACCCTGACTAAATTCTTCAGGCCCTCATTTAAGAAACTGCAGCTAACTGTGACAAATACATCTCCGTGTAAATTTACTGCAGGCCATAAGGACCTATACAACATTGAAACTATGGCCCTACACGAAATCTACCTGCCACGGGCCTACGGGCAGGCACTTATTTCAAACACTGCCTAGTGGTGTTAAGTTTTTGTTTTACCATATACCTAGTTTGTTATATGCAGTGTTTATTCAGGACAATATCGTCACGCTTATTTTAATCCACCTTTCTCTGCATTTTATACAAATAGTCAAATCTTTCACGTTTATTGTCGTTCGGTGTTGGAAATCATATTTTTATGTAATCAAGAATTTGCTAGGTTGTCAGAGAATTGTTTTTATTATTTGAAAAAAAGGTATATGTATGCATGACCATAATGTGGTAATTTTCAAAGGATCAATGCTGTTGCTGTCAATTAGATTTGATGGACAGACAGGAAGATCTACATGTATATATTGACATTTGCTCACTGTGTATTCAGACATCATTGCAGCTAGTCTTGATATTTAGGAAATCAGATATTTTTGTTTCATTCTAAGGTCTTTTTGTTAAACATATCATGTGTAGAAAATGATTTTGATGGATGTATTTATAAGTATCTACAAATATAAACATCATCTCGATGTGTAAGAATAACTGAGATTCCAATCAACACCCTCACTCTAATGTGTTGACATTTGAAATCGGTTACACAGAGCTCATGATTATCATGTGGTTTCCATGTTGATGTGTAGTTGTTACAACATTAGTGAATACTGGTTAGGGCTGGGACTAGTCCAAATTTACTACCCGGGTACTCACCCCCCTATTACCCAACCCTACCCAGGTATATCTTCTGTAGGTGTCAAGATAGAGGTACAAAATGTCTGATTGGGAAACGTTTGACCGTACTCCGGTCAAAATAAATTTAGATACACGTATAATCCAATCTGGTCATGCATACACTGAAGTTTACGGAAGTTATATCATTATACAAACATATAAAGTTAGAAGAAATTTGTCACATATAGTGTAACCATAGAGTTCTAAATAATATTTGCCATTAAACAATATCATCACGTGACTAACCTGTGGGTTCCCGGGTCCTACTCAGTACCAACTCAACCCGAGTACCCGAGTACCCGAGTTACCCTTCCTAGCCCTAATACTGGTGTTTATGTTGTTGATGTATTCCAATACTGAACTAGGTACGTGATGTGCATGTATGCTCCATTTCTCACAGCTGTCAAAGCACTATAACTGTCTTAAGTCAATGTTAAATGATGGGCATGACGATCGTCTTACCATGCTCACTGCTAAAATTGTTTATGCAATGGGACCCTTTCTCAGGTCCTCTGTATTGGTCTTTGTCAGTGAAATACAAGCCACTTTGACAAAGCCATAACATCAGTTATAACTATAACAAAATGAATTGGGAAATGTTTAATTCCAATTTTAGACACTTTACTGACATTTGCTGCAGACATGAAGCCGATTATCGGCCTCGAGGCAGGTCTGAATAAGTCCCCATAAACCCAGTCCAACTCACTCGGGTTTGATGAACACATGTGGACCTTTGCAAGATCATACAGCTGTGACTGACGTCACGTATGTACATTTGTGTCAGTTGTACGCTTTGATAGCTTTTGTGAAACAGGCCTCATATCTTGAATCTGAGATGTAGTTTTGATGCCTAAGATAGCGAATGTAGACAACAGTTCAGTTTGACAAAACTTTGCAACCTCCATAGATCCTATATTATTGTTCTTATGTTATATAATATTCTGCTAACAAGGGACTGGTTTCTACAGTCTATGGCTTCACTGATCTGATTTAACCGATTGCAAAATAAGTTGTTTTCAAAGGGCAATACACTTGCGTTAGTAGATAAAGACGATCAATACAAGGTACCAATTATGCCTTGAGTTAATCCACCAAGTGCACACTGGTTACGTGTCTAAATGTGTTTACCTAATAGCATTCCAAAATCCACTATTTTATTAAGAATTTTGAAGTGTCTGTGATATAAGTGCTCATGTGAGGTTGTCAGCTGCTCACCCATTATAAGAAGTTAAAGATCACCTGTTTCTTTCATAATAAACTGGGTGTTCTTTAATTTTGAATGAGTACCGGTAGTATATATCGTTGTTGATCACAACAGATGTATCGTGCCAAAGTGCCTTCATGTTGTTTGTACATCTTGTTTCCCAATAAATATTTCTCATATCTGTCTTGTGTTGTATGCTTCTTCGTGGCAGGCTCCTTGGTTGGACAAAGGACGATCTTGTTGGAAACATCCATATTGGATTGACAAGGTCTCACTGTATGTAGGTGTCACTTAAAATGAGGAATCATTGTGAAGTGGCATGTGTGGATTAACAAGGTCTCACTGTATGTAGGTGTCACTTATACCTAGAGGAATGATTGTGAAGTGGCATGTGTGGAGTAACAAGGTCTCACTGTATGTAGGTGTCACTTATGCCTAGAGGAATGATTGTGAAGTGGCATGTGTGGAGTAACAAGGTCTCACTGTATGTAGGTGTCACTTATGCCTAGAGGAATCATTGTGAAGTGGCATGTGTGGATTAACAAGGTCTCACTGTATGTAGGTGTCACTTATACCTAGAGGAATCATTGTGAAGTGGCATGTGTGGATTAACAAGGTCTCTCTGTATGTAGGTGTCACTTATACCTAGAGGAATCATTGTGAAGTGGCATGTGTGGATTAACAAGGTCTCTCTGTATGTAGGTGTCACTTATGCCTAGAGGAATCATTGTGAAGTGGCATGTTGTTAACAAATTCAGAGAAGTGCCATATTACATGCAAAAATTATGCTTGCTTCTTTCCAGGCAAAATACCCCTACACACAGAAGAGTGAACTTGAACTCGAAGAACTCAAATTCTATCACCCAGTTGATCCTCTCTGTGACCTTGACCTGACCACCTGAGGTGATTTAAACAAAGCCCAACTTGTTGTTATTTATTCTTAAATTAAGTTAAGTTAACTTACAGATACAGATAATTTTATAACCTTTGATCATCTTGAAACTTTGTGTCACAATGTATGCTTGAATGAATATTTCACATGCTAACCCAACCAAATCCTGAGTGAGAACCTGGCTTTGACTTGAACTTTCACTCCTTCCCTCATGCAAACAATCAGTTTGACCTTGGATAATGTTAGAAAACTTTCAAAAGCCTATGAATGACAATTATACTCTGCAAAAAAAAGGAACGCAAAAGTAGTATATAAGAAATACCGTATTCGACGTAATAAGCGCCCAGGGCGCTCTCAAAACAGGGGGCTCTTTTTAGAATATTCATTTTTTGAAGAAAAAAAAAGTTAAAAAATAAATTTCGTGGTTTATGCTAACAGCCTGCAATGTTTACATACAACAGATATATTTTTCCAGAATTTAATTGCCCATAATTAAGGGTGCATATTGTACACGAGTGCGTATTATACGCAAATAAATGAGTCTTTTGTACATTGATCAATCGAAAGGGGTGCTAATTGGGATTGTTCACTAGCCAATATAGGAAATATCACCGTGGTCGCTTATTAGAGCGGGGCGCTTATTATGTCGAATACGGTACTGACAGTGTTCCCAACATCCATACAAAAATAATACCAAAAATGAATTGGTCATTTCTGCATGGATTGGGATTCATTTGTGCGGAAAGAATGAGGTACTGCAGAAATTTGGTGAAAAGATCGAAAAAGTGCAAAAATACAACGTGAGAGCCTTGGGCTGAAACACACGGACATGCATATGCAACATCGCTTGGTGGGCTAGAAAAACGTTGAGTTTTCATTGCATGCCATCACAATCTTACAGCAAGTGAAAAGCGAAAACATGCCATGAGTGACGGAAGCCCAACGCAACAACGCCATCAGAAAGGAGAATAATCTTCAGCTGCTACAAGGTTTCAAGCACCATTACAGGACACACGGGAAACACAGGACCTTTCCAGATCCGGTCGACCACGTACCATTACTAGAGCACAGGACAGATTCATACGGCTACGTCACTTACAGTCACCTCTACGACTATGGCAATACCAGGATTGCGCAAGATATCAGCCCAGACAGTTGAACTGTTTATCTGCTGAAGGTATTCATTCTTGATGACCAGTTTGAGGTGTCATTTTGATGGACCTGACAACTGCGACGTCAATGGTGTCAAGGTCACAACTGCGATGGAGACAAGTTTGGTTAGTGAAGAGTCACGTTTTACACTTCGTCGTGAAGATGGTTGACATGTTTACAGGCGTCGCGAACAACGTTATGCAAGAAAAACTACATACAGAAGTAGAGAGATTTGATGGTGGTAGTGCACAGGATTACAGAGCATGACCCACTGGGTGGCTATTTAGAAGCTGAAAACTCTGATGATGATGATGATGATGATAATAATAATAATAATCCCATTTACAGTTTGCCAACTTCTATTCACGAAGTGAATGCTAATATCTCTACATTAGTATTGCCCCGATCTTTTGGATCACTAAAACTTCATTCTCAGCTCCCTGGGGAGTATACAAGCCAAGCTGCCATATCAGACTGGAAAGCATTTTATAAATTGGTCCTCATAATGCTAGTTAGAAGTATGGTTCTTGCAAATAATTCCCAAGTCAAGTAAAACAACAGGGGTTAACTGTAATCATGTTTATTTTATTCCGGGAGCTTACATTATACACGGTGACGTGACAACTGGTGTATGACGGCACTAACACCAGGAGCCACATGTGGTACACATGTTTCCTCGTCCTATAAACATGTCTTGTACACTGCAGTGACACGACCTTCAGGAATTAAAAATGTTGGTTAAAATAAGATAATAAATGAGATATCAGCTTTTTCTCCACTGAATAAGGACTTAAAATTTTCTAAGACAAGAACAATGAGGTTAACAAGTCACATAAAAAAATGACATTCTATTACAACCAAATCCAGCCATGACCTCCAGTTGGATTCAACTGAGCGTCACCTGATTGTTGATATTTACACATCTGAGATATTGAGGTAAAGCTATTGTCATCATAAGTGGATGATAACAAATTCACCATGAAATTTTTCAACTGAATACACAGCACAATAAGACAGAAATGTCGGAATTAGGACACAGAGCACAGTTTGAAATAGTTGACCAAAGTTGTCTCCCTTTGTTATCACATCAGGATGTTTCACAATATCACATTTCATGAATATTATAATACATGGTTTTATTGAGAAGAAACAGAATCCTGTTCTACTAAGCGGGTAATATGACAGATATATACCGCAGACACAACCCAGGAGAACGACGCGATGATATGTTCCCGTACACAACACCTACATGGATAGAAGTTCGGTCACTAACGAAGCAAGCAAGATGGCAGCTTCAAGGGCAGTCAGTGCATTCACCACAAGGTGGTTTCCAACCAATCAAAATTCATATGAGTTGCCAATTTTAAATTCATAGGATTCATGAGGAAACTTTTGAATATTTGTAGCACACAGTTTACTTTCTTGGTTAGGACGCATATTTCATCACTGTTTTTTCTGTGTAACTTCCTTGTTCAATTTGAATGAGATAAAGAAACAATCTGAAGCAGTCTGAGCAGCAATGCTGAAAAAAGGATTGATATTCTCCAGAAAAACTGGTTCATACCATACCATAAATCATTGTCACTGGCTAGTAATCGTTAACATTGTTGGACTAAGTTACCATAAGCAATGCAATATTAGCGCTAAGTCCCACAACCTGCCTTCTCACAATCTGAATGTGATGTTACTAAATCAAAAGGTTGTCATAAAAGAGAAGATAAGTTAATACTTACTGGTTGATACACTGAACACAAAAAGTTTGTGATCTCAATATTTTTGGGGATCATTTTTGTTGTGAAGACTGAGCATACAATTTCATCAAAATATACCCCAAAATATTCATGATTTTTTTTCTTCAGTATATTTACTTCTAATATTATGATGAAGTGAATTGAAATACTACTTGTCGAAAACTGATCATACATGTGAGAAGAAAGTTCTTGGGGAAACAGCTTACAAACAATCTGTTACACATTTGGACGGTTGAAAACAGACCGTTCCACTGTAATTAACATGATCTCATATCAACCTTGACATCTCACACTGAATAAATATGTAATATTTGCAATAAACTATATATTTACATTAAAATTATATAAACTTGTGTCAATGTCATAACGGCCTGCTCTATTTCATGATGTAACATCCGGTATATGAAAGGCCTCCAGTATTGTCTGTCAATATTGAGCAATTAGTGTTTATTTCACACCAAGAAACAAGCAAAATGTGACAGGAAAATCGCACTAGTCACAACAACTTTCCAGGACAGTTTGACCTATAGTTTGGGGTATTATTGAGGAAATGTTCATCTAGGCTAAACAGAGAAAACTATCCATGTCTGACTAGCTTTTTACCACAGACATGGATGAGTCTAAAAATTTAATGTTCTGGCTTAGGGTTGGCTGAAGGCTATTTCTGTAAATATATTGATGTATTTTCTCCAAGAAAATAATCCCAAGAACAGCAATACTGACTGCGTCAAATACTAAGGAGAGAGAGGAGATGAAAAGAAAACCTGAGGCAGCAAAAAGGGGTAGCTATGGTCACCGCATTAATTTGGTATAACCAACTTCAGAGATCTCACTGGTCAGAACATACGGTGTAAAGACAGACACAGATTGGTAAACTGTGGGATAAAGATGTCTTCATCACCAAATCAGGTAATCCGACTTAGATACTATTTTCCCAACATAATATTCCAATATGACAATTTCAGAAAAGTCAAATAATGTCAAAAGCTAAACAAGAAGGCCGCTGATTGAACTTGGATCAAGGTCAAACCGATTCTTCAGAAACAGGCTAAAATGTCTGTTGGTTATACTCATATAAAATCTGAAAAATGTGTTTCTGTAATAAAATTTAAATAAACATTTAAAATATAGCACTACTACAGTGTAAATGTTCAGTGTGGTACAAAGATGTCACTTGTACCCAGCACTCTTGACATAATCTCAAGCATCAGGTGACACCTTAATTACAGGTGTGGTGACACCTTAATTACAGGTGTGGCACCACCTTGCTTACAGGTGTGGCATTACCAGTGTCTAGTCTCATGTCTATTTATAAGGCAGAGAAACTCATTCAGCTATTGCTCAAAGGTCTGAGTATATTCATATTTACAAACATGACAAGTCAGTTTGGGCAACTGTAATAAATTCTAGTTCTAAAATTTCATCTGTTATAAATGTATAAAACATAATAGTGCATTCTATCAAGGAAATTAAGTAGACAGTTTGGAAGGATAGAGATCAAAATAAAAATGCTCATGTATTATGAAGTAAGTCATATCAATGGATGAGGAAATTTGATTGTGCACTTCAAGTTCTTAATTTTTAAACTACTTAACATGATAAGATAACAAATACACAAGGTGTAGATGGATACACAACAATATGTACATGCTGACACTTCCATTACAAAGGCGCAAGACCAGCCACAGAAAATGTTACAGGCTGTTCAAAATAGGAATTTAATATTTTCTATTTGTTTTTACTTCTAAAACCCCCATTGTCCATTCATGTGCAAATCAGGACATAAGGAGTGATCAATTCAAAATTCGGTTTCTGATAAATATATATTTAAAAAATCTTGTTTATGAAAAGTACTAAAATCACAAGATGTAATTTGTAAAAGATTTGCTACCCATAAAAAGTATTTGAAGATAATGTTAAGTTATCTATTAAGATTGTCTTTCCTGTTATTATAAAATGGACAGCAAGATTAATTTAAAATATTAATTACAATAAACAATACAAACGAATTGCAACATGGTAAAAGTGAGCTAATTCCAGTTAAAATGAAACACTTCTTATCTCCATGAGAAGCACGGTACAGAAGTAAGGAAGTGCTACAAGGCTGCTGGGAAATGGTGACACGACATCATAGAGGGCGCTGTGCATGATCAGAAGAAGATGCGTTCACAAGGTCGTCCAATACAGTTCATGGTCCAACAGAGGAGAGATGTGGGTCAGTCCTTGTAGGCTGACTCATTCCCAAACTGGTCTGAATGGAATAAACTGAAACAGGCTGTTTCAAAGTAATAGTTTTAACACAGTCCAGATATACTTCATGAACAGGTTTCAGATCATGGGAAAAACTTCACATTCACCCTGAACACAACCCTGGCTTGAATGACAGCTCTCATGGTGATGGGATATTTTCAGACACTAGAGTCTGGGCATGTTACAGCAGAAATTGATCCTAGGGTACATCAATCTATGTATCGGGTACATAACAATTCATACAGGGCCCAAACTTGATGCAAGTCAACAACACAAAATTGTTCCACAATCAGTAGCTTTTATCAGAGCATACAAGTTAATCGTTTACCCTGCACACGTAACAGTACCAAGCACTGGATAGTTAAAGCTCACACATGGTATATCGTTATACCACACATTCCATAATGATTGGTAATACACCGCTATACCACACCTGCCCTTACAACTGGTATGGATGCCGTTATACCACACCTGCCATAATGACTGGTATGGATGCCGTTATACCACACCTGCCATAATGACTGGTATGGATGCCGTTATACCACACCTGCTATAATGACTGGTATGTACACCGTCATACCACACCTGCCATAATGACTGGTATGTATGTGTGATAATCACAGAAATATACTGTTATACCCCCTGCCATTATCACTGGTATATGCTGTTATACCACACCTGGGATAATGACACATCAGCGGACATGGACATGGACTTGGTCTGACAGAATAACTGAGAGATGTGCTCCAGCGATTGGTTCTATACAAGACTGTACAACAACCTGATGAATAACTGAGAAACCTGGCTGGCACAGCAGGAGATGTGAGTGATGTGTCGACAATGGTATGTAGGTCTGGCTGCAGCAGCTCCTTGTGAAACACTAAACTGTACACATTGTGCAACCGGTAAGTGTTATTCCACAGAGACGCTATGTGTTACGATGCTCATGATATCCAACGCCTGTCTGTATACATCTTCACTGTAATGAATCATTATACAACTTTTCTCAGATAGCCAGTATCTGATGATATATCCAGCCATGGAAAATAGCATCCTTCACAAATCTCTTTTAAAAATAGGACTTTGCCAATGTCTATCACTTTGTCATATAAAAGAAATCACTTCTATAACTGTACTTCGAACTGTTTCACAGTCTTTGACCCGAATGGATTACTGCCAGATTTATTGGCAGCCTTTGCTGCCCAGGCAACATCGAAAGGATCCACCCCTGGCCCGGCTTGACGTGTCGGGCTGGCGACACTGCTACTCGAAGAACTTTCAGACACACTCCACTGACTACTGCCTGATACGTTTCCATTCTGCTGGAAACTTCTTTGATGAGCCATTTCTAACAATGTAGGTTTAGTCTTCTGCCAGCCCGTGTTAGAGAGTTCTCCTGTATCTATGGAATGACTCCTCGTGTGCTGGAAGGGCATTGGTCGCGGCCGTGCCATTGGGGGCTGGGCAGGAGGTGCCTTAGGGTAGGGTTCTCCGGAGAAAGGCACACCGTTGACAGCAGACGACGTTGGGGAGGTGGTGAAAGCAGTCTGGGGGGCAGAGGCAAAGGGGTTGGTTGATCCCATTGGGGAGGTGGCTCCTTTGTTTGGCCAGTCCTCGCTAGGCACACGCTGAGGTGCAGGAGGGGTGGCGGCAGTTGTGGCGGGGTTTGCCCACGGGTTGGTGGTGGGCTGGGGTACATTGGATCCGTAACCTGCAACAGTCATGAATATTGTGAACAACATCACACACATCATATAAACATTACAAGTGTTATCCCCTACCTGCCAGTACAGTGTTCTGTTACAAGTGTTATCCCCTACCTGCCAGTATAGTGTTCTGTTACAAGTGTTATCCCCTACCTGCCAGTATAGTGTTCTGTTACAAGTGTTATCCGCTACCTGCCAGTTCAGTGTTCTGTTACAAGTGTTATTCCCTACCTGCCAGTACAGTGTTCTGTTACAAGTGTTATCCGCTATCTGCCAGTTCAGTGTTCTGTTACAAGTGTTATCCCCTACCTGCCAGTACAGTGTTCTGTTACAAGTGTTATCCGCTACCTGCCAGTTCAGTGTTCTGTTACAAGTGTTATTCCCTACCTGCCAGTACAGTGTTCTGTTACAAGTGTTATCCCCTACCTGCCAGTACAGTGTTCTGTTACAAGTGTTATCCCCTACCTGCCAGTACAGTGTTCTGTTACAAGTGTTATCCCCTACCTGCCAGTACAGTGTTCTGTTACAAGTGTTATCCGCTACCTGCCAGTTCAGTGTTCTGTTACAAGTGTTATTCCCTACCTGCCAGTACAGTGTGCTGTTACAAGTGTTATCCCCTACCTGCCAGTACAGTGTTCTGTTACAAGTGTTATCCCCTACCTGCCAGTACAGTGTTCTGTTACAAGTGTTATCCCCTACCTGCCAGTACAGTGTTCTGTTACAAGTGTTATCCCCTACCTGCCAGTACAGTGTTCTGTTACAAGTGTTATCCGCTACCTGCCAGTTCAGTGTTCTGTTACAAGTGTTATTCCCTACCTGCCAGTACAGTGTTCTGTTACAAGTGTTATCCCCTACCTGCCAGTACAGTGTTCTGTTACAAGTGTTATCCGCTACCTGCCAGTTCAGTGTTCTGTTACAAGTGTTATTCCCTACCTGCCAGTACAGTGTTCTGTTACAAGTGTTATTCCCTACCTGCCAGTACAGTGTTCTGTTACAAGTGTTATCCCCTACCTGCCAGTACAGTGTTCTGTTACAAGTGTTATCCCCTACCTGCCAGTACAGTGTTCTGTTACAAGTGTTATCCCCTACCTGCCAGTACAGTGTTCTGTTACAAGTGTTATTCCCTACCTGCCAGTACAGTGTTCTGTTACAAGTGTTATCCCCTACCTGCCAGTTCAGTGTTCTGTTGCAAGTGTTATCCCCTACCTGCCAGTATAGTGTTCTGTTACAAGTGTTATCACCTACCTGCCAGTACAGTGTTCTGTTGCAAGTGTTATCCCCTACCTGCCAGTTCAGTGTTCTGTTGCAAGTGTTATCCCCTACCTGCCAGTACAGTGTTCTGTTACAAGTGTTATCACCTACCTGCCAGTACAGTGTTCTGTTACAAGTGTTATCATCTACCTGCCAGTATAGTGTTCTGTTACAAGTGTTATCCCCTAACTGCCAGTACAATGTTCTGCTATAAGTGTTATCCCCTACCTGCCAGTACAGTGTTCTGTTAGGCTACAGGTGTTATCCCCCACCAGCCAGTACAGTGTTCTGTTACAAGTGTTATACCCTACCTGCCAGTACAGTGTTCTGTTCCAAGTGTTATAACCTACCTGCCAGTACAGTGTTCTGTTACAAGTGTTATAACCTACCTACCAGTACAGTGTTCAGTTAACATGTTCTACTCTACCTGCCAGTACAGTGTTCTGTTACAAGTGTTATCCCCTAACTGCCAGTACAGTGTTCTGTTACAAGTGTTATCACCTACCTGCCAGTATAGTGTTCTGTTACAAGTGTTATCCCCTAACTGCCAGTACAGTGTTCTGTTAACATGTTCTACTCTACCTGCCAGTACAGTGTTCTGTTAACATGTTCTACTCTACCTGCCAGTACAGTGTTCTGTTACAAGTGTTATCCCCTACCTGCCAGTACAGTGTTCTGTTACAAGTGTTATAGCCTAACTGCCAGTACAGTGTTCTGTTAACATGTTTTACTCTACCTGCTGGCGTAGTGTTCTGTCTCACAAGAGTTGGCTGAGTGGGGCTGGAGTACTGATGGAATGGTGGGACCGAGTTCTGGTGTGGGAGACCCATCCCTGGTCGAGTTGGGGCGTTGGCGAAGGGCTCGTCCGAGGACAGTGTAGACAGCCCCTGTGTGAGCTGCTGACACATCTTGGTGATGGAATCCTCCTGCTCATGGGTGGGAGACATCTCCTGTATAGCACCTCCTACTGCTGCAGGACAAACACCAGCAGTTAAAACCACATTAGTCAGGGTTGTTATAAAGGCTATACCCTACCAGGTGGCATAGTGTACTAACAAGGGTCAATCCCTACCTGACAGTATAGTGCTCGGTTTGGGTTTAATAAGTTAGGCTTAACGCCACTTTGAACAGTTATATCATGGCGTGTCAGCATAATGTGTGAGGAAAGCCAGAAGTGATGCAGGTCTTAGACGTTTACCACTTTGGTGAAACCAATGAAAAAAAGGTATCGCACTGACAAACCTAGAAACATTATTGGGGTGAACTGTGATTCAAACGTATGATCATAGCACCTTAGACGACTGGGACACCGGTGCCCCAATAATGCCTCATAGAACAGTATTTCAGTCATATCATGACATAGATGCTAAATAAGCATAAAAACAATAGACATCATACAAAATTGGTTGGTTGGGTGGTTGGGTGGTTTGGTGGTTGGTCAGTTTGTTGTTTAATGCCGCACCTAGCAATATTCCAGCTCTATGATGGTGGTCTGTACATAATCATGTCTGGACCAGACAATCCAGTGATTGACATCATGCGCATTGATCCTCGCAATTGGGATACGATGACATGCATCAACCAAGTCAGCAAGCCTGACCACCCTATCCTGTTTGGCGCTTCTTACAGCAAGCATGAGTTGCTTAAGACCTATTCTACCCCGGATCTTCACAGGTCACAACGTACAGACAACACACTGCAGTGGTTCATGCTTTAAGAATATGACCTTATTAAGCTGATTACTGGATCAAAGTCACTTCTAATTTGGCAGCTATAACTTATCAAGAAAATTCTTCAATTAAAACTAGTAAGTGCACATCACCTTTCGGCTTAAGTCATATGATCATACCATCTAGTACCACCTCATACCCGTGTGTCATATTTACTTTCAATGCTGTTGTTCTCTAAATTAGCATTAACTTTTTTTCAATAGTACCTGTTCATAGTTCATCACATAGTTTATCATTTGGAAAGGAATTTCCAAAATTTAGCAAGACACCAACTGCCAACATGCAAGTGCTGTTAGTTTTATCACTGCATAGGACACAGAGTACTAATGCCGGGAATAGCACCACGTCCCTAAGCACGACAAGCCAACAGTAGCATCAGACAAGGTACTGAGAAACAGGACACAGTTATCTCCCTTACCACCATTGCCATTATGTGTTGGGGATTCTAGTATTGCGTTCTGCCTCTGTAACGTGGAGGGGAGTTCTCCCAGACGTAGGGACACGGAGCGTTTGAAGGGGGATGAGGCTTCATGGAGCTTTTCAAATCCTCGGAATGAACCCTGTCTGTTTAACATTGACGACGTGGCATGCGGCCGTTGAACAGCATAAGGGTTGTCAATCTTCCGCACTGGGACTGGTTCTGTTCAAAATATGATCAAGTTCAACCTTATAGATATCATATCACAGTGTTTTGTTCAGATACATCAGAGAGTGAGTATGGACTTTTGGCTTAGGGAACCCAACCTGAGCCTTAGGCGTTACTACCAGGGTGTCCCTGTAACCTTCAAAACTACGATTATTGTTTCAATACAACATGAACATATAACTGATAAACTGCAATGTTTACTCACTCAATTACATTCATGCTTTCCATGACACTAAAGTCAATATCAAAAATAATTATACAGTTGAAATAGACCACCAAACAGACCTAATGGAGTTTATGTATTATATTTACATGACAATGGTGCTTCAAAATGTTCATGTATCTACCATGAATAAAATAGAATAATTTCATGCTCTAATAATGTCAGTCTTTTCAGCAACATATTACCGTATTCGACGTAATAATTGGCCAGGGTGCTCTCAAAATTAGAAATAGGGGGCTCTTATCAGAATATTTTTTTGGTGAGTTGAAAAATAATTTTTGTGGTTTATGCTCACAGCCTGAAATGTTTATGTACGACAGATATATTTTTCCAAAATTAAATGCCCATAATTAAGGGTGCACGTAACACACAAGTGCGTATTATACGCGAATAAATAAGTCTTGTTTACATTGATCAATCGGAAGGGGTGCTAATTGGGATTGTTCACTAGCCAATATCTTAGCAAATTTCGCCGTGGGCGCTTATTAGAGCAAGGCGCTTATTACGTCGAATACGGTACATTAGTCATGCAGCATCAGGAGACACCTCCAGTAATGGTTGAATGCCTCCAGTACCAGCTGTCGCTAACCTGCTAGAATTGCACTCTGGGGGTCCGCCAGCCTCTCTGTGAGTGTGGTCTGCCTGAAGGACCCTGTCCGAGTGAAGCTTGTTCGATCCTGGTTGAACTGAACTGTCACCCCTGTCTCCTTGTCCCGCTTCTGTTTCCGTTCCAGACATATTGCGAAGGCACACCCTACTGCATGGCTTAGTCTCTCTCCCTGTAACAGAGCAGATAACTTCACAATTAGACCAGTTAAACATTCAGTCTGTAACAGAGCAGATCACTGCACAATAAGAAAACCAGGTAAACATTCAGTCTGTAACAGAGCAGATCACTACACAATAAGAAAACCAGGTAAACATTCAGTCTGTAACAGAGCAGATCACTGCACAATTAGGCAACCAGGTAAACATTCCATCTGTAACAGAGCAGATCACTGCACAATTAGACCAGGTAAACATTCAGTCTGTAACAGAGCAGATCACTGCACAATTAGGCAACCAGGTAAACATTCAGTCTGTAACAGAGAAGATCACTACACAATTAGACCGGGTAAACATTCAGTCTGTAGCAGAGCAGATCACTGCACAATTAGGCAACCAGGTAAACACTCAGTCTGTAACAGAGCAGATCAGGTAAACATTCAGTCTGTAACAGAGCAGATCACTGCACAATTAGACGAGGTAAACATTCAGTCTGTAACAGAGCAGATCACTACACAATTAGACCAGGTAAACATTCAGTCTGTAACAGAGCAGATCATTGCACAATTAGACCAGGTAAACATTCAATCTGTAACAGAGCAGATAACTGCACAATTAGACCAGGTAAACATTCAGTCTGTAACAGAGCAGATAACTGCACGATTAGACAACCAGGTAACCATTCAGTCTGTAACAGAGCAGATAACTGCACAATTAGACCAGGTAAACATTCAGTCTGCAGTCAGTCAATATTGTTTCAAACCGTTGTCAGCAATTTTCCAGCTATGTCATGGTGGACTATACATAATCAAGTCTGAGCAAACACCAATGGTTGACATCACGAGCAATTACCCACAACATCATGATGGCACACTTTTAACAAGGTCATTCAATGTAACCACCCAACTGGCTGCTGAAAGTCGGCTCATATGACAAGCATGAGGTACTTCAGTCCTATACTGCCCACGAAGGGCAACTGCATTCTTGACACAGAACATTACAACAGAAAATATTACAAAAAGACAATGATGATATGACAGAAAACATAACAAAATCAAAACAAATCTCTATTTCCCTATCATACATCCTAACTGTGGTTTGTAATTCTATAGGAATATTCCCCTAAACAACACTTCCTACTGGTTCAAGTACAGGAAAATTATCTATACAATGACATACTTTTTATATAGATAACACACTGCAACTCAGAACAAATCTACATGTTGCAATAAGAAACATGGTCATCAGCTATTCACCATCCAGCAATCGATATCTTTGAAGGGTAATGAATAATAGGATCTTTGTTCCATGCAACCTCCATTCCAACATGACATCTATTGATACCAGACTTCCAATTCTGTCTAGTCTACAATGGATCTTGACATCAGTATCATAACATCAATATTATCTTCATGCCATGCGACCCAACTTGACAAAGACCCAGCACACATCAACAGTGTCCTGCCTTCAGACACAGCTGCCATTAACATGCTGGACGATACCTACATAATGCCGACACATGACGCAATTTAATCAAACCCTGCACAATGTTGAATCAAAGAGCAGGTCCATGTGAGTGCTCATATCATCATGGAGACCTTATTTCTGCAAGACTGCTTCAGGCCTCAAAGTTAAATTTTTTACCAAGTTTTCTTTGGTTGGTTTGGTGTATAACGCCGCAATCAGCAATATTCCAGCTATATGACGGCGGTCTGGACCAGACAATCCAGTGATTAATGTCATGAGCATCGATCCCCGCAATTGGGATCGATGACATGCATCAACCAAGTCAGCGAGCCTGACCACCAGATCCTGTTAGTCGCCTTTTACGACAAGCGTAGTCACCTTTTACGGCAAGCATGGGTTGCTGAAGACCTATTCTACCCCGGAATCTTCACGGGTCTTTTACCAAGTAGCCATATGGCTACAAGCATTTGTTTCAAGGTAGCCAGTCGTAAAGCCAATATTGTAGGTATTCAAAAGCATTTGAAATGATCTTTTATCAAATAACTATTTTAATATGTACAAGACATAGCACCAGTCTTGAAATTATGAATTAGTGGAAACTGTACTTGATTTTTGTTATTTGTGACTCAAACAATGATGTAATTTATGCTACTAGATTATTTAGGTATATCCTTGCTTATCCAATGAGCATTGTCAACTGAAATAAAATAATAATTACACTAATATTTATGTATTTCTGTTCATTGTTGACTTAAGGAGGAATTATATGCAAGTACAATTATTAGCAGACATGTTTTCGACAATCAGCTGTCTTCAAATGTGAAGCAATAGATTTAGTTGCCACAAGATATTTTCAAGGTAGTCATTTGGCTACCTCTGAGTTTTAGACAGTAGACAAATTGAAATTTAGGTCAAATTGGCAACTGTTTTAGTTGCAACATTGAGGCCTGTGCTTCAATGCCTTATAAGGAAAACTGTTGATATCACATGATTTTTACTTCTCAGGAAAGCATAGCTTGGGTCTTATTTATAATATCGCCTTCCATGGAGGACACCTAAATAAGTACTAGCCATTTTGTCCACCTGATCTACATTCAACTTCACACTAAGAAGCACATGTACCGAGGATCTATTCCCCCAGAATCCCCCATTGATGATATCCCTACTGCCCTATCCATCTATGGCTTACCAATGAATGTTGCAATCAAATCCCCCCCCCCCCCCCAACACACAGGGACGGTTCACCACCCCATGTGGTGTCAAGAGACAAGATTGATTGTTGATTGATTGTTTGTTGTTTAACGCCGCACTCAGCAATATTCCAGCTATATGACAGCAGTCTGTAAAATAATCGAGTCTTGACCAGACAATCCATTGATTGACATCATGAGCATCGATCCACGCAATTGGGATCGATGACATGCATCAACCAAGTCAGCGAGCCTGACCACCCGATCCAGTTAGTCGCCTTTTACGACAAGCATAGTTGCCTTTTACGGCAAGCATGGGTTGCTGAAGACCTGTTCTACCTCGGATCTTCACGGATCTCAAGAAACAAGAAGGGAGACTGCAACGGTTCACCACCCCATGTGTTTGCGACTTAAAAAGTAGTTTCGTGTTTGCAAAATCTTAAACAATATAAACATCAATATCAAAAAGATTTTAGGGTCACGAAAATTCTTTACCTTACATTTAGATATGATTATATACAAAATCAACTTTAACAAAAAATATTCTTGAAAACTAGGAGACTGCTGTTGGAAGCGAAAGAATAATGTTGGTCAAGTAACAAAAGTGGCGCCTTGCAAAACGAACAGTTTTGATTGACGAGTTAAATGAAACATTTACAGTTTATAATGAAACATTTTCGAGAGAATAACAAATTGCAAGAAGAGTTATTAATTTCATAAATGACCATCTGTCTTTATTTTGCCTTGTCAATGTTGAACTAACATAAAAAGGACGTCAACAGTTTGTGTACAGGAAAGACACTTACAATAAAGGGAGACAATTTAAGGGGAGGTAACTCTTGTATGACAATAGTTCTGTCAAAGTGTTTCACTGGAGTGAAATGTCAAGTGTTATTTATGTTCATTGCAATGAAAATATAACTTTTCTCAACTTTAGAAAATTCAGTCTTTCACACTGAAGTATATAATAAAATTGAAATCAAAGTTGTGAACTGCTGTTGATTGGTTGTCATTAGAGCGCACATTAGTAAAATAATCAACATGAAACCAGTGGTTGATAGCTTGAGCAACCATCCATACCAACAATGTCCAATGACACACTATCAGGGTTCAAAATTGACACATATCCACTAAGACTGAGGAAGGACGAGAGATATTTCCTTGCAGACCTTCACTTTCACCATTAGGTAGATGGCAGCTGTAGATCATTTTTGTTGAAAACCAAGATGGCCACCATGCTAGTGAAAAGAACTATTGGAAACATTTGATTTATTAAATGAGTGGTCAATGGGTGTAAGAAAAAATATAGATTTGCAAATCTACAACTTTTCAGACCAAGATTACACAATACACAGGACTATCAATGAAGTCAAGAAACAAGATTGATTGTTGATTGATTGTTTGTTGTTTAACGCCGCACTCAGCAATATTCCAGCTATATGACAGCGGTCTGTAAAATAATCGAGTCTTGACCAGACAATCCATTGATTGACATCATGAGCATCGATCCACGCAATTGGGATCGATGACATGCATCAACCAAGTCAGCGAGCCTGACCACCCGATCCAGTTAGTCGCCTTTTACGACAAGCATAGTTGCCTTTTACGGCAAGCATGGGTTGCTGAAGACCTGTTCTACCTCGGATCTTCACGGATCTCAAGAAACAAGAAGGGAGACTGCAACGGTTCATCATCTGTGACATTTCTTATGGTGGGACACAAACTAGCGTTTGTGTTGGTGTCATGTCCCCTAACAGCACAGATTACATTGGAATTATGTAAGTACAGACGACAAAACACTGCAAGGTCTCCTTGATATCTATGTCAGTATACCAGCTACACACTGAGTAGGAAACATGGGCTGGTACTGATGCATGTGGAAATTGCTGACTCTGCAATTAATGTATCCAAACAGCCCGACTATTCTGGAACCAACCATTGTGGACAAACCAGCCGCAGCTCAGGTGGCATTTGTGGAGCCAATTATTTTATAACTGAAAGTCTGGACTGATCAAACACTCCTGGAAGGAAGTTGGTTTTGAGAACCCCCAGAGGGGTCTGTTCAGTGTAATTGCGAGCACCTGCAGTGGACGGGACATGCCATGGGACTCTTGGTTTGTCCAAGCATTCCCACCTCATTAGGCCAGACTGACTCTTCATATTATGAAACAGACTTCCCAGATTAACTGATCACCTTTCGTATTACCACACAAACTTCTCAGGTTAACAGATCACCTTTCGTGTTACCACACAAACTTCTCAGGTAAACAGATCGCCTTTCATATTACCACAACGACTTCTCAGGTTAACAGATCGCCTTTCATATTACCACAACGACTTCTCAGGTAAACAGATCTCCTTTCATATTACCACACCGACTTCTCAGGTTAACAGATCGCCTTACATATTACCACACCGACTTCTCAGGTTAACAGATCACCTTTCATATTACCACACAAACTTCTCAGGTTAACAGATCGCCTTACATATTACCACACCGACTTCTCAGGTTAACAGATCACCTTTCGTATTACCACTCAAACTTCTCAGGTTAACAGATCGCCTTACATATTACCACACCGACTTCTCAGGTTAACAGATCACCTTTCGTATTACCACTCAAACTTCTCAGGTTAACAGATCGCCTTTCATATTACCTCACCGACTTCTCAGGTTAACAGATCGCCTTTCATATTACCACACCGACTTCTCAGGTTAACAGATTGCCTTTCATATTACCACAACGACTTCTCATTTAAACAGATCGCCTTTCATATAACCACAACGACTTCTCAGGTTAAAAGATCACCTTACATATTACCACAACGACTTCTCAGGTTAACAGATTGCCTTTCATATTACCTCACCGACTTTTCAGG